ATGACAAAAAAATCTTATGGTCTGGATTTTCTGACCTATATGCTAAAAAGCGAACCTCAAAGCTATCAAGAGACTGTGAACTCCTCGGAATGACCTCAATGGAAAGAGGCCATTAAAAGTGAAATAGATTCTATCCTGCAAAATCATACATGGGAGCTAGTGGATCTTCCACTAGGAAGTAAACCACTAGGCTACAAGTGGATTTTCAAACGAAAAATGAAAGCAGATGGAACTATTGAAAAGTATAAGGCCAGGTTGGTAATAAAAGGTTACCGACAATGGGAAGGCCTTGATTACTTTTATACATATTCTCCAGTAACGAGAATAACTGTAATACTCTGAATCTTGTGCTCCTTTAACTTTTAGAATAGCAATTTAACTTTTCAAAATTTAGTATGACCAAAAAATTATTTATGATTGCCAAATTTTGCATTGGCTGATTTATTAAAAGTTTTTCCAAATAATTTGTTAATTAGGGGTTTGGGATAAATGTCCATTTTACACCTAATTACTAAAGTTAAACATTGTTTCTCCAACTTGGCCGAAAATTGATGAAACATATATGCATGAGGTGTTTTAAATTTAAGCATGAGGTGACTTGCCAATGCATGAATTGTTTAAATTTAAGCATGAAGTGGCTAAGGCATGCATGAGATGTTTTAACTTAAGCATGTGGTGGCTAAGGCATGCATAGGTGTTTAATTGAAGTTAAGATTTTCTTTCATGCTGCCCACGTGTAGAATTGGTTGAAGAGTCACCCAAAATTTATCATTTTTCTCACCTATAAATAGATGTGTTGCTGCCCTTTATTTCCCTTACATGAAAAACAACTTAACACTTGTTTATAAAAGGGCAGAAAACGTGAGGGAAGAAGAGGACTAGCCTAGCATTTCTCAATTCATTTTCAACTAAGATTTCTTCAAGTTTTATTGTAAGATACTTTCTATGCTTAAGTGGTATGATTTCATGATAATATTTATGCTTAAGCTATACATGAAAAACCATAATATGAATGTGGTGGACAAGTCCACAAAGTTAGAAATCTATTTATGCCTTAGGACAAGTCCGAAAGGCACCGGCAAGCCGGAATGTGCAAGTATGTGTTTGATTGCATTCTTTTGTATAGTATTAACATGTTAAAATCCAAGCATGGTATCTTATTGAGTATTCTTTATACTCATAGTGTTCTATACTAAATTCTCAGATTCATAATTGCGGAGTTGGTGGAAGTCAGTCGGCATAATCGATGATGGGTTAAGGACAAGGTTGTTTTACATCGAAGTTTTGTTTTTGCATGTTTTGTCCGACTGCTTTCCATATGTTTTCTTATGGTATTGTATAAAAACATATATGAGACATGATGTAATATGGTACCGGAAGTAAATTATGCAATTATATCTTCTATGTTGTGTTAAGAGACCTTTTTTTAAAAACTTCTCCTTGCAAGTGACAAAAGGCAGAAATGGGACAGTTTTTGGGTCAACTTCAACACATTATTTTTGACTCTATAAACGTTCATTTTAGAATCTGAAAATATTACTGCGTTCCTCATTGAGTTATCTTAATATGGGCACAAGAATCACTCAATTTGGATAACTGTAGCCTAAGATATGAATTTCTGTGCAATACCTCACTATTTTCAGTAAAACGCCCATATTATATGATCTTGGAAATTTTTATATTTTAACCTAGAAAACTACTTGAAAATATCTTTCTAATGTCGTGAATTTCATAGAAAACGGAGTTGGGATGAATTTTATAAAAATAGTCGAACTTGCTGCCGCAACTAACCGTGGCAGTGCAGAGTCCGTATATGTAAAGTATAATTTCTTGTCGACATGCGCTTCTACGGGCCATTAAAAATTTATTAGAGACATTTTACCAAGTTGAAAATAAGTTTCTAACAAGTAATACTTCTATTTAAGAGTATTTACATGTACCAAAAGCAGAAGCTATTATGTTTTGTACGTGACACTCGAAACTTAAGTTCGGGGCGTCACAATAACATCCATTAGAATGATACTTGGGATTGTTGCTTTGCGAAATCTTGAAATACATCAAATGGATGTTAAGACTGTCTTCTTGAACAGAGATTTAGATGAAAAAATCTATAATGGAACAACTCGAAGGGTTTTTGTTTCCAAGGCAGGAAAAGAAGGTGTGTAAATTAGTGAAGTCATTGTATGGCTTCAAACAAGCACCAAAACAATGGCATGAGAAATTTGACAGTGTCATGATAGAGAGTGGATTTAAGATCAACGAATGTGATAAATGTGTTTATGTTAAAGACACTGAAAATGACTATGTCATTTTATGTCTTTACGTTGATGACATGCTTATTGTTGGCGGCAACGATAAGGTGATCAAATCCACTAAAACAATGTTGAATTCGAGATTTAACATGAAAGACATGGGTCTAGCTGATGTTATACTTGGAATCAAAATTTCAAGAACATCGGATGGTCTTGTTCTAAACCAGTCATATTATGTGGACAAAATCTTAGGAAAGTTCAGTAAGGATGATACTAAAATGGCTAGAACCCCGATAGATACGAGTCAACATCTATCTAAGAACAAAGGTGAAAGTGTGTCTCAAGTAGAATACTCGAGAATTATTGGAAGTCTGATGTACTTAATGAGTTGTACAAGACTAGACATAGTCTACTCAGTGAGCAAACTGAGTAGATACACGAGTAATCCAGGAGCTGATCACTGGAAAGGAATAGTAAGAGTACTAAGGTACTTGAGATATACTCGTAATTTTGGACTGCACTATAGCAGATATCCAGCGGTCATTGAAGGATATAGTGATGCTAATTGGATATCCGACATAAAAAAACTCAAAATCCACGAGTGGATTTGTGTTCACACTGGCAGGTGCAGTTATATCATGGAAATCTTCTAAACAAACAGTGATAGCTAGATCCACTATGGAATCTGAGTTTATAGCTCTAGATAAAAGTGGTGAAGAGGCTGAGTGGTTACGCAACTTCTTAGAGGATATTCCAAGATAGTCAAAGCCTGTGCCAACAATTTGCATATATTGTGATAGTCAATCGGCAATTGGAAGGGCACAGAGCAACATGTATAATGGTAAGTCTAGACATATACGTCGTAGACATAATACCACTAGGTAACTACTCTCAACTGGAGTTATCACTATTGATTATGTAAAGTCAAATGATAACATTGCGGATCCGCTAACCAAATGGTTAAATAGAGAGTTAGTTGAGAAACCATCGAGAGGAATGGGACTTAAGCCCTTGAATGGATAAGTTAATACAAAGGAAAACCCAACCTAGTTGACTGGAGATCCCAGGTTCTAGGTTCAAAGGGAAAACCTAATTGTAAAGACTTGATAGGATCACTGTGGGGGATATTACCTCCTGTCCATTCCTGTGATGCGACAGTGATACCCGTAAAGATGGAGGATAAGCAATAGGCTTTTAATGATTCTTATGCGTTGAAAATCGAGCCAAATAATTCAGGTTACTTGTAATAAGAAATCACCTATGTGATAGAGAAGTGGGGCCGCTTCTAAGGGAATTGTGTGGGGCACAATTCTTGTGAACTCTCACAGAACCAAGCGTACGTTCATGGCCAAAACGAACATAGTAATGAGAACTGAAATGTGTTAGGAAGAATCCCGTGTGAAGTGTATCATCGTTTACATAAACGGCAGAACAGTTCAAGGACATCGCATCTACTGATCAGCCAGTGAAGTAAATATGCTTTCACAAGGGAAGGTTCAAAGGGTAACACCTACCTATCCTATGCATGTTTCAACTGTTAAACTATATCACCAAGTCGTCATGTGTCACATTCACAAGTCATCATGTGTCACATGCATGAGTTGTTCCCAATTTTCATTCATGTGGAGGATTGTTGGAAAAAAAACTAAGTTATGGGCCGACTTTGGCACGAGTTTTGAGTGGGACCCGGTTGTTCAATTTAGAAGATGAAAGTTGATTTGTGTTCTCCTCCGTGAGTACATTGAAATCATATACTTACTTATCAAAGATGATGCTCGGGTGAATGAGAAATTGAGGCTCAAAGTGTGCCACTCAAAAGGGAGTTTATGTAGGAAAAATGAATGTGTCCCACATAGGAAAAAGATGAGAAACTCCAAAGGTCATTGCCATTAATGGTAGCCTAACCTATAAATAGTGGCTCATTTTCCTCATTTCAATACACCAAAGCAAAATCTTTCAAATTTAGAATACACAAAAAATTCATTTGCATAGAGTTCTGTCTTTTCTGCATTTCTGTCTTGGTGGTGGTGTAGTTCAAGCACTAGTTCAATTCGTCGGAGTGGTTTCTGGGGTGCTCGGAAGCTACTGATTTTACCGTTGTATCCTGGGAAACGGACGCTCGTTTTAAATCTCAAGCACGGACGGTGAGGGGGCGAATCTGTTTTAAGGAAATTGTGTGTCACACAGGCCTCGGTTTGAAATTTCATTTCCTGCAATTTCAATTATTCGTTCTGTTATTTATTGCAGTAAATTCAATAATTGATTTGTTGTTCATTCTGTTATTATTCAATTAGTTGTACGACTGTAACTTGCTGTTATATATCATCTTATCGGACAAAAGGCATAGACGGTATTGAAATTGAGAATACCGGATTCCTCATTTTTCATAAACTTACCGAATTTCAGAAAAGTTCGATCGACCGAACTGGTGAAACTTGGAATTTTCCCTACAGATGTAACTAAGTGAAAGGTTTGGAACCGTGACGGTCATTTTCCCAATAAATTGCCAAATATGAGCAGGGGCGGGCTATTTGGGCTTGGACGACTGGCAAAATTTTACATGCGCTACATAAACTTGCAATAATCCTATTCTCACGTTGTTTGCTAAATTTGATATGTATTTAGTTCATTGAATAAGTTGTATTTCTTTACTTTTATCGCCTAGTGTTCGGGGCGACTTGATTGAATGAAGATCTCTTTCATTTCAGGAAAAAACCTGCAATAGCATTGAAAACAACGTGATGGAATTTGAAGTTGACAAATTGTTTCAAACAAAGAATGTATTCAATAACCACAAGAATGATAAATACTATGCTGCACGATTGGTTTATGAGAATGACAAAACATGACATTAAAGAATCCAAAATTTATACAATGTGATTAAATCAGAGGTACCCTTTGGAGCCTCTGGATTGGTAGAGTTCCAATCTCTTTTTCCCTTCAGAAACTAAGTTCTCGATCATCGAATCCTGCATCAAATGATTCTGCTTCGTTGCCCATTCCAACACGATGAGCACATCTTCATTGGCTAACGCCTCGCTATCTGGTACATGCAATGCAAGGTAACATAGTAATATAAATGAAGGAATTTGTACCATTTGCTCACCAAAGTATATAGATGGGATTAGGTGCTTAGCGCCTCCTGCATCAATTATGGACTTAGAATGATTGACATGGAGAAAATTATCCGTACATGCGAACTTGCTCAATGCGATCGCTGCCTCACTTGTAACCTCGGGTTCCCTATCATCGAGGAGATGCACCAATGGACCAATAATTCTTGTTTCTGTTGCTCGGAAAGTTCTGGCCAAATTCCCAATAGATATAATGCTTGGAATGAGGAGTTCCGAGTCTGCTTTGTCGATGATTCGCAAGAACTGGTCGACTACTGCTTTAGCAGCCGGTGCAGTAGGTTTGAAAGCTGAACGTCTCAATTCTTCGTTTTTCTCGGCTACTGCTGTAATCTCCATCAATGCCATGGCGGAATTGTATTGAACTTCATCAGGGCCTTTCTCCAACAAAACCGCAAAGCATAAAAGCGCTCGGGATTCGGTTATACTATGACAAATAGTAATGTTCCCAGCACAGAGGTATCTAAGGGCCCTAGCAGCCATTGCCTTCATTTCTGCCTTAGTAGTAGGGTCTTCAAATTCCCTACCCTTAATGCTAGTTCCTGTCAAGGCAACTTGGTGCTTCTGCTGCTGCTGATTCTGGTGGTGCACCTGGTTTTGATTTGTTTTCGTGTTCTTATGATTTGCCTTGGGATTGTTAGCTTGAAGCTGCACGTTCCCTTTTGAAGGCACGTTCGATTTCATAGCCATAGTATTCGCCACAACGTTGTGCATTTGGCTTGTCGTGTCATTCCCAGTCGGATGAGAAATCGTGCTTTGAAACTCATCCTCGTTCCTATTACTACTCGTCTGGTCTATCGAGTTGGAATTAGCCATCACAACCGTGTGAATCGACATGGCTTGTTTGTTGCTCGCAATGGCATACTTGCTATGTTCTTGAATCGTCTCGAATGCTAGATGGCTAACAAGCAATCTTATTGTGTTATCCTGAGCAAAATGATCCTGGCATTTCGGATGATGCGCAGCCAATTCCGATACGGCCCAAGCCACCACAACCTGAACTTTCATATGCCCTTCTTTGAGTATTTTAGCAAAGACTGAACAAACACCAGCATTAACAATGGGTTCTACACATTCAGGGTCCCTGCCTAATAGCCCTATTGCCCTTGCAGCATTTTCTTGAGCCTCCATTCTTCCTTCCTTGGCCAATTTCAACAATGGTGCAACCCCACCTTCCTCAATGATCAATTTTCCGTACCTATCATTGTCTCGAGCCAGGGAAACAAGTGAAGCAGCCGCATCAGAACGTTCCTCTAACGAACCTGAACATAAAATCGCAATCTGCTCCCATATCAAGCACAGAATCGGCTCGTTCGACGCGATAGGGGGCAGCCCGAGATACTCATCGGCCCGATCATCAGCCGGGGTTGAGACTCGAAGAAGCCATGAAACATCACCTATGGAATTCTCCAATTGTTGTGAGGTTTTCCTGAATGCTGCTGTGGGGATAATTGTGAAAACCTTTCTTAATCCATTGGCCCGGCTTTTGAACACGAGGGTTAAGGCCTTATCGAGTACTTGCTCAGTATCGTCGATAATCCGCCGGGTCGGGCGCTCATACAGGTCGCCGCTGGCCCTGGCGGCTTGCCGGAGCAGCCCTGCGAGTTTCTCGGTTTTCACCTTGATTTCGAGGCATTCCTGCCGGAAAGAGATGGTGTCGCCGGAGGCTTTTATCACCTGATCGGCCAATTGAATTGGTTTAACTAAGATTTGTTTCACTATGTCCGCCATGAACGATCACATTAGCGGACCCTTCTCCTCAAAACCAATCCAAAACCAAAATAAAAAAATTAACGGAAAATGGGTTGTTGTATAACTTTGATGCTTCAATTCTCGAAAATTTTGTGGGTCTGATTTATGCGTACATGAAATGGTGAGAAGCTACATAATCTGAGTTTTTTATTAGAGTTTTGAAAAATGCATGGGTAATCGGGAGGAGGAGGAGGAGGTGATGGTGATGGTGGTGGTGGAGGTGTTGTTAACGGCGATGTTGGTGGCGGGGATTGAGAGTAGTTATTTTTTTATGTTTGGTGAGTGTTTATGAGAATGGTGAAACGCAAATATCTCTTTTTCCTTTTGATGAAAAAAGTGTAGTAACCATATTTATTGGAAGAAGAACTGCAATGTTTGGTTTATAAAAGGCAAATTGCAGTGTTAGTCCTCAAACTATTTAAAAAAATTGGTCTCCGGTCTCTTTCTTTGGTACAAATCCCGGCCTATTAGTTATGTGCCGCTATGTCTCCCAATGGACCAAATGGTTTTTTTGTAATAATTTTAAGTGCTTATAAAAATTAGGTCCTGCGATATGTATGAATACTAAATTTGTTATTTTATGGTTCTATAAAATGTGTAGATAAAAAATATATTTGAATTCTTAAAAATGTTGTATCACCATTTTCTCCCATTTCACGTTCTATTCCTTTCGCTTCCAATAAAGAAGAACTCAAGGCTACACAAATCAAACAACCCTCCATTCACCACGGCTCCAATGCTACTCTCAATTTGTTGCTCAAATAATCCGATTCGTGCGGATTCTTTCCCGAACTAAGAAAGAGATTTTGGCAGAATTGCCACATACACTACAGTGGAAGTGTGTTGAATTAAGAGAAGACGGTAAACATCTTTATTATAAAAAATAAACCGCAAAAGCAAGGTCTAACAATTTGAAGAGATGAAATTAGAAATTGAGTTTAGGTTGAATTTCGAGGTTGAAATTAAAAATGGGAAAAAATCACGTTTCAGGGGTATAGAATACCCCAAATCAAAACCCCCCCAATAATGATTGAAAATTCAAATGTCTCTGTGACCAAAATTCAAAAAAATATATCGGATTTCATTATGCATGGCAACGAAATTGATGTTGCCGATTGATTTTACTGAAAATTGGTTGATTTCATTCTTCTATCGGGTCACAGAGATCGGTGTCGATTCCATAAAAAAAAATTACTGGAGAAATTAAACATTTCGTCATTCGTTTCGAGCATATGTGACCCTCCTTGTCAACTATGTAGTCTGAATGATACCAATCTGTGACCCGACTTGTGATAGTCTTATCCATAATTATCTGTAACTTGGTTTGCTAATTTGTGACCTCATTGCTGTGCAGTGTGACATGTGACATATTTCACCTATGATGAAATTATAGATATTAATTGTAATTTGCAGAATGGTGTACTTACACGTGTGTTTACTGTATGGATTGCAATCCTCATTAGCGTTGGTAGCTCGCAACTGCAGTTATTTAACCCTTGTGGACACAGTTATGACAGAATTTGCTTTGGATCCTACGAAGGTAGCGGTGTAATTGAAGTACATACTGAAGGAAGAATTGCTTCCCATCAGGATAAAAAATGACAATAATGAGCTATCATACATTCTACTAAAGGACATGGAGCGAGAACCTGCTAAATATTCGATAATCATCGACGTTGCTGAGGCAGAAATAGATAATACGTCCATCACAGTGCCAGTCAATGCGCATTCCAACGGTGAGATATTTACATTGCAAGACATGGCATCAAACATATGCGAAGCATCAAATGAAAAAAGGGGTCACATTTGTGACACTGAAGTCACAATTATGTCTATCGTGGATGCTAGAGAGGTAGAAGAAGGAAGGGTGTTCCGTGATAAGGATTTTTTGAAAATGAGCCTGTCGTTTTTTGTCATACAGAACATGTTTGAGTTTATGATTGAAGGGTTCGACAAGAAAGAATATGTTGTGAGGTGTTCGAATGGTGGATGTAGTTGGATATGTAGATCATCGATATGGGGTAAAACAGATCTATCTAATATTCGAAAGATTGGTAGTCACACATGTGCATCAAATATAGTATTGGGATCACATAGGCAAGTGTCATATAAGGTTGTGTCATCTACAATTAAGTACCAGTACACATCGTCCTGTACTATATATACACCAAAGGACATATGCAGTGACATGTTAAATACTTATGGGGTTTATTTGAGTTATTCGAAAGCTTGGAGATCTCGCGAGCAAACTTTGAAAATGATTAGAGGTGATCCAGCCGAGTCATTTGGTAAGTTGCCAAGTTTCTTCTACATGCTCTGACAAAAAAACCCTGGTACGGTCACAGAAATAGAGGTTGATGGTCACAGTAAGTTCAGATATTGCTTTATGGCACTAGGTGCATCAATACCGGGATGGGGGCATTGTAGACCGGTGATTATTGTTGATGGTACATACTTGAATGGTCAATATGGAGGTACCATTTTCACAGCATGTACACAAGATGCAAATAATAGCATATTCGTTCTTGCTTTTGGAATTGGAGACAATGAGAACGGCAAATCTTGAAGATGGTTTTTCGATAAGTTGAAGAAGGCGTATGGAAACAGAGAGAGGCTGTGTTTTATGTCAGACAATCACCCAAGTATAAAGAATGCGATAGAACATGTGTATCTGGGAACCTGCCACGGTATTTGTTCTTATCATTTGCTACAAAATCTATAATCATATTATGGAAAGTTAGGCCAAAACATTACACAAGCATTCAATTCGGCTGACCGCGCTTACACACTGGAAGAATATGATTATAACATGTCTCTGCTGACAATGATGAATGAGAAGATTATTTCATAGCTAGTACTGTATTACGTCTTATTTCATTTCATATACATATAAATGGTCATATATGGTATTTATATGATGTTCATTGAATTGATTTATGTTTGCAGACTGATATTGGACCTGAAAAGTGGTCACGAATCGCGGTCACGAAGGCAGCCAAAAATTACCCTATTGTATCCTTGTTAGAGTCATTACGGCAAACCATACAATCGTGATTTTGTAGACACTGAGATGATGCGCATGGAACTTTCACAAAGTTGTCGAGCAAGTACGAGAAAGAGATTAGGAAAATGAGCATGGATTTGAGGAACTTGAGGGTAATTTTTTATATTTTAATGTTCAGATGTATATGTGACCCATCGTAAATGTCAGTATCTTGAACTGTAATGTAACAAATCTGATATGTGACCTATTTTGTGATTTTGTGACCTGGTTGGTAAACTAAGTTTGAAGCTCCGTATTCTGTTTCATAGCTATCTGTAAATAGAACAAATTTGTGTAACTTGATATCTAAATCTGTGACCTATGTGATGTGGTATGTGATATAACTGTGTACTCTCTGTCAACTCTGTATTCTGATACATGTCTATTTGCCAAGTGAGGTATGGACTACATGTGTAACATGCTTCCTGAATCTGTAAATGAACTCAGGGATATGAATCATTCATGCGTGACTGACACGTTGGAGTATATGTGACCTGTATACAACTACATGTGACCTGACTGTTGTTACATGTACGCAGGTATCTCCTTCAAACCAGACAATATTTTCTATCCGCAACGAAAGGTCGACGTTTGTCGTCGATATTGAGTAAGGAATGTGCACTTGCAGGATTCTACAAGTTGATTTGTTATCGTGTCCACAAGCTTTGACTGTAATTGCAAACACAAGAAGAGATCCATATGATTATTGTTTTTATTATTACACAAAAGATGCGTACTTGAATGTGTACCAAGATTCTGTATATCCCGTTGAAAATCAAGAGGAATGGACAGTGCCGGAAGAAGTACAGTGAGAAATAGTGTTACCTCCTAACCAGAATAGGAGTTGTGAAAGACCTACGGAGAAAAGAAAGAGATCATCCAGAGAAGGGAGATCGACGGCAAAATGCGGACGTTGTAGAGGATAGGGTCACAACTGTAGGAGATGCGCCAGCTTGGCTCCATTACACTAAAATGACCAATAGAATTAAATACAAATATTTCATAGATAGCTGATATTCTTTTAAAGATAATGTTCATTGAAAATAGTATTTTTAAAGAATGCATTCAGATTGATCAACTAACAGTTAATTGTCAGTCAATTTTAGAGTTCGAAATAATAATTCTCTGAGATTTGGACCATATCTGTAACCTAATACCAGATCTATAACCTGTGTGTTGTGACCTGTGATGTGTGACATGTCGTATGAAAAATTTAAATGATTTGTGAATATGTAACCTGAAATGAGAATATGCGACCTGAAGTGTGGACACATACGGGTAACATGAATCCTAATGTCTGTAACCCATGTGCTGTGACATGTCATGTGTCGTATGAAAGATATGTGTGACGTGATATATAAATCTGTGACCAAGTTAAGAAGCTAATTGGAACCTATCTGTTGTACCACATAACATGTTTCACCGACTACGTGACGTTGTTAGAAATAAAGAACCTGTATAATTTACACCATATATAAAAAAATATCATTAAAATGTAATCGAAGATGGATGAATCATGAACGTAAACACTTTAATATCCTTTATTGCAAATCAAAGGTTACGAGTTACTATTCATTACATGAACCTCTAGTGACCAGACACATGCAATGTTCATAACATTTACAAACTAAATCATTGTCCTCACTAACAAATCTAAAGCTAGATTTCATTCTAGAACAAGCGCTTCCTCTGTCATAGGCTGATTCACTCTCTTTGTGTAAACTTACCGGTATTTGTAGAGTAGCGTAGCAATATATGCTGAACTTGCCGGTATCAAACTTCTTGGAAATGGAACATCTACCACCATGGATAAGATACAACGCATATAACACCACGAATATCCCACAATCATGACTGCAGAACATGTGACAGACTGTTATGAATGAATCCATCAAAAGGATATATGCATTGTAAATCTTGATCGCAGACTTACCCATTTGTTTGCTAAGGGAGTGTGTCGTCGATGATCACCTTCAATTCTTTGGCTTATAGTTTGTGATAATCAGGATCCTTCTTTGAAATTTTCAGGGTATTCATTAGAGCTGGCAATACCTTCGCGTACGGCTTAATACCTTGCAAAACCTTCCAGTCACGGTAAGATTTACCTGCTGAGTTGAACACAGTCAAAGTATGACTTCTGAATTGTAATAGGCCAAGCATCCAATGTGCTTTGTTGGTGGGTATGATCAGCATGAACACATAGTCAACATCGGCCCAGGGTGAGCTAAAAAGGAGGTTGTGACCTGTTACAACCTCAAGCA